GGGGGGGATGAGGCGGCGACTGGCACAGACTCACCCCCTCCCCAGAGAGTAGGTAGTTCCCGTTCACCTCCCCAACCCTCGCCCAGAACCTTAAATGTCTACATGCTACATATGAGAGTGGGCACAGGTCCCGAAGGTGAGAATGATTACACATCCCACCACCTACAGTATATGCCAGCGTGTGCCCACTCCAGACCCTATATATATAATTTCTTCCCAGGCTCTCATTGAGGTGGCAGCTTCTGTTTCTCCTCCCCCGTTTTCCTTCTTCCTGCTCTGCTCTCTGTGTGTCTGAAGCGCCTGGGTCTCATCTCCCGAACATAAATTAAGAAGACTATGGATTTGGTATCGTGGGCGTTCAACTCTATTGATAAGATTTTTTCATCAAAACGACAAGGTCCTGGAGAACCGGCGTGTCCAGCTGAGACTCACGCTGTGGGGTACGTCATGGATTCGTGGGGAGTGTGGCAGTTGATGTGCATCACAGTTTTGTCTCAAGAGGATGTTGAAGACGTTTACATATTTGGATCTATGATAGCAGGGACTCTGCTTTTTGGCATCTGCGGGGCTCTGTGTTATCGACTTTTGAAGAAGACAGTGGGAGCAGTTTCGGCCATGGAAAAGCTTCCGAGTCAGTGTGAAGGTCTGGTCCTCGCTGTGGGAACTTTAAATCGTCTGGTTTACAAGCATAACCGTAAGGTGGAGGCGATTGAGAATCGCAGACCACCTGCAGCTTCTGGGACTCGTCAGCGTGGTGGGTTCGAGCTTGAAGGAGACTCATAGCATGGATCAGTGGAATGGAATCCCACAATTAGGCATTTTCGGAAACAGAACGCCCAGATGGACTCAAGGCTGAAGAAAAAAATCTGTCTGCCTGAAGAAAAAACAAAAATCAAGCTTATCTGAATCAGACTCCCGACGGCCTCAGAGACGGGCTGACTATCAAATTTCTCCTGGGACATGAATACCCAAGGACCAAAGCTTCATCTATTCCCCCCCCCCCCGCGAACTCTCTGTACCAGCTTATCAGAACTGCTGGCTGGAACAACATCTTCAGAAACTGTGGCTGATCTGAAAAAACGCTCATGGACAAATCTCAACACCTCGATGTCAAATGCATGTAATCATGTTTTAATTGTGCTGCTGGTAGAGTTTTTTGATGTCTCAAATCGTGTCCTGATAGACAAGATGTGAAAGATCTTTTTTGTAATACCACTATCTACCCTCATGCTTCTCCCCCTTTTCCTATCTAAGATTATTATCTGCCAAGGATAAGAAGGCAGCGCTCTCCTGTAGTTGCAGCATTGTGCACTCCGCCCATCTTTCGGACGACTGTACGTACATATTCGCGTTGTACCTCGGTGCAATTCCAATAAAGTTTATTCTGATTCTGATATATGCATGTGTTGTGAGAATGTTATATGTGAGTGTCTAGGTTGTTTAATAAAATTGGGGCCCAGGTCTCCATGTAAATTTATCCCATGCGGTTTAATAACTTTACCTAATGGAAGCATATATAAAGTAAAGGGTATTGGTCCAAGCACTGAGCCCTGAGGAATTCCATGACTAACTTTGGTGTATGAAGAAGATTTATCATTTACATTTTACAAACTGGAATCTATCAGATAGATATGATTTAGACCATTTAGAGCTGTTTCTGTAATCCCAATATCATATTCAGGCCTCTGTAGTAAAATATTATGATCAGTTGTATCAAATGCAGCACTGAGGTCTAACAGGACCAGTATAGACACAAGTCCATTGTCTGAGGCCATGAGAATATCATTAGTGGCTTTTATTAGTGCTGTTTTTGTGCTATCATGAGCTCTAAACCCTGACTGAAACTCTTCAAACAGATTATTTCTTTGTAGATTTTCACGCAACTGACCTGCAACTGTTTTTTCTAGAATTTTTGAGACGAAAGTTAGGTTAGATATAGGTCTATAGTTGGCCATAATTTCTGAATCAAGGTCAGACTTCTTAAGTAAAGGTTTAATTACAGCAACCTTAAAGAGCTGTGGTACATAACCATTCATTAAAGACAAATTAAGCAGATCCAAAATGTGGACATTAATTAGGGGAAATACCTCTTTAAACAGTCTGGTTGGTATGGGATCTAGCAGCCATGTGGATGGTTTGGATGAGGGTATTATTTTTGACAATTCAGGTTATAACCTGAATCTCTCACTCTCTGCTCTTTGAATTGAGAAAGCTCCTCGGATGAGGAGCGAAACGTCTTCTGTTACAAATAAAGTCCAGTTGTTTTTGTATTGAACGCTTTTTGAATACTGTATTAGTAAAGTTCTGAGTAGTTTGTTGTTTTTTGCAGGGCAGGGCTGATGGTGAATTGTACCTTGACGATGGCCACTCCTTTAAATACCGTGACAGAAAGGCCTTTTGTCGGCGCAGGTTCACCATGCTGTCAGGCCGTCTGCTCTCCCGGTGAGTTATCCTCACATCTACCGGTACTTTAAAGGGCTCCGGTTTTATACTGAGTGTGAAAAATCTCAAGTTGTTAAAGTCATAGGCTCAATCAACAACACAGAATGATTTGAGTGCATTGTCACTCACACATGATGGTTTGATCTCTGTTGTTTCTTTTCACAGTCCTGCCAGTGACGAGGGAACATTTGACTGTGGGACTGTCATACAGTCGGTTACCATCCTGGGGGTGAAGAACAAACCGTCCACCATCATTATCCATGTGCCAGGTGAGGTCTACCTTTGCTGTGATCAAGAACACTCTCATGGCTCATCAGTTACTTCTATTAGCATTGCCCATGCATTACTTAAGACCAAATAAATAAAGAAGACTAGGAGTTCCTTGAAGGAATGTTTATCACCTGCTGCCTTTTATGCCAGAGTTTGAATCTAATATTTTCTTATAATGATAATGTGGATGCAAAACGATGTCATGTTATGACTGAAATCAAAAGAACATTTTAGATTTATGGACAAAAAAGATATTCTGACTTCCTGCAATTAAGGACATTTCATTTTGACTACAACATCATACATGTGTTTTATATTTAGATTTTGGGAATGGACCAAGAAGAGTTGCATGGACTTTAAAAACATGCACGTTAGGCTGATTGGTAACTAAATTGTTTAGGTGAGAGTGAGAGAGTGAATGGTTGTTTGTCTTGTTTGTCTCTATGTCCCTGTGATGGACTGGAGACCTGTCCAGGGTGTCCCCCACCCCTCACACATTGACTGATGGATTTGGGCACCAGTGACCCAGAAAGAAAGAAACAGGTAAAAGATAATGGATGGATGGATGGATGGATGGATGAAATGGAGCAAGAACTGGGTAATAAAACTCCCTTTCAGCTAATTTGTTCTGTTAGTGCTTGCTCAGTTCACATGTGCTTCCTGCAAGCTGTTTGACTCGTGGGTTTGAACATGCACAAATCACAAAACCCCATTAAGATGCACACACCCTGTTTTTTTTATTTCACTTCCTCAGTACTCTGTTAGCAGAAAACAGGTCTGAATAGAAGATCCTCATCATCTGAAGCTCTATTTTACATTTGTGTTGGGTTTCTGTGGCAAAATCATGTATGCCATGACCGTTACAGCTTCTGCCTCTTCACAAAAATCTAGCAGTAAACATTTTACCTGAATTTTCCCTTGCAAGTTCAAGTCAACTTTATTGTCGTTTCCATCACATGTGGTACTTGAGGTGGAACGAAATTATGTACACAGGGTCCCAGTTACATCTAAAAATAACAAAAATATAAAGTATAAAAAGAAACAGTATAGAAAGATCTAAGACATGTGTCAAACTCAAAACCTGGGGGCCAAATGTGACCCTCGTTGACATCTTATCTGGCCCCAAGATGATATGTGAAACGTAAAATACTTCTGTCTCTTGAATTTTTTCAGTAATCTTTGATTATGATGTCGAAAGCACAACAGAGAATGTCAAAAGAGAACAATCAAACTCTTGTTGAGGAACCTGTGACCAGGAAAAGATGCTGGGTATCTGATTTGACATAATGTAGTTTCTGAAATTCAGAGTCAGAGTCAGAAATTCTTTATTGTCATTCGCACCTCATGTGGTACATGTGGTGGAGCGAAATTATGTACACAGGGTCCCAGTTACATCCAACAATAAAATGTAAAAGAAAAACAGTAATAAGATCTAAGATATGAATTAAGAAAAACATCAACTAAATATACACTAAGCACTAATTGCATAAAAACATTACGTCTAACATCAGCACAAACATGAACCTGAGTCTGTGTGAGCGGATGTGCACACATGAACACATCAACATTGAAACAGTTCAGCAGCAACATGAAACAGATCAGCAGCAACATGATGTGATTTTTTCACAGTGATTATTCTGGTTAGAGATTCATGAGTCTTAACAGCCTCAGGGTAGAAGCTGTTCCTCAGTCTAGTGGTTCTACACTTAATGCTCCTCAACCTCCTTCCTGAGGGGAGCAGGGGAAAAGTGTGTGTGCTGGGTGAGTGGTGTCCTTCATGATGCAGGTGGCCTTCTTCCTGCATCTGGAGGTGCAGATATCTGTGATGGTGGGGAGACTGACTCCAACAGACTTCTGTGCAGCCTTCACCACTCTCTGCAAGGCTTTTCTTTCTGCAGCTGTGCAGCCTCCATGCCACACATTGATGCTGGAGCACAGAATGCTCTCCACTGCACACCTGTAGAAGGAGGTGAGGACTGAGCTTCTCAGACCAGCTCGTCTCAGCCGTCTGAGGAAGAAGAGTCTCTGATGAGTTTTCTTGCTCAGACTGGTGGTGTTGTTGCTCCAGCTGAGGTTGTCATTCATGTGTACACACAAATACTTGTAGCTGGAGACCACTTCCACCGCAGATCCTCTTATGTTCAAGGGGGTGTAGGTGTGTTTGTTCCTTCTGAAGTCCACAATCATCTCCTTTGTCTTCTTAACATTGATTTGAAGGTTATTCTCTTTGCACCAGCTCTCCAGGTGTTCCACCTCCTGCCTGTTGCTTGACTCATCATTGTTTGTGATGCATCCCACCACCGCTGTATCATCTGCAAACTTTACAATATGACAGCCTGGATGGGTAGCTGCATAATCATACATGAGCAGAGTAAACAGGAGGGGGCTCAACACACATCCCTGAGGAGAGCCAGTGCTGAGGGTTATGGTGGAGGAGGAGAAGTTGTGGATCCTCACTAACTGTGGTCTGTTTGTTAAGAAGTCTAGTACCCAGTTGCAAATGGAAGGGCTTAGTCCTAGTGTGAATAGTTTGTCCATCAGGGTTTGGGGGATCATGGTGTTGAAGGCAGATGTGAAGTCCACAAAGAGCATACGGACGTAAGAGTCTTTCTTCTCCAGGTGGTTGAGCACAGTGTGGACCACAGAGGAGATGGCATCCTCTGTTGATCGGTTCTCATGGTATGCATACTGATGAGGGTCCTCGTTCACGTTGATGGTTGTTTTGATGTGGGTCATGACCAGTCTTTCGAAGCATTTAGCAACTATCGGGGTGAGGGCCACTGGCCAATAGTCATTCAGACCAGTCACTGTAGAGCTTTTTGGGACTGGGATGATGGTGGCAGTCTTCAGGCATTTGGGAACTGTCTCCAGGGTGAGAGAGGAGTTAAAGACGTCTGCCAGCACCTCGCAAAGCTGATCGGCACATTCTTTCAACACTTTTCCAGGGATGTTGTCTGGGCTAGTTGCCTTGTGTGGATTAATCCTCCTGAAAATACTCCTTACTTTAGCTGAGGTCATGCTGAGATGCTCTTCATCCGGTGGTGAGGTGAGTCTGGTGCTGGGTGGTCTGTTCAGGTCTTCAAAGCGTGCATAAAACTTGTTGAGGGCATCAAGCAGAGATGGATCTTTGGGGCATTGTTCACTCCTTCCTTTATAATCTGTTATGCACTTAATGCTCCTCCACATGCTCCGTGGGTCTTGTGAGATGAATTGACCCTCAATCCTCTGTGCATATGTGGCCTTGGCCTTCTTAATACCAGCAACCAGCTCTTTCCTTGTCCTACTCAGTTCCAGTGAGCTTCCAGACCTGAAGGCAGTGTTCCTGGCTTCCAGCAGGGTGTGCACCTCTGCATTCAGCCAAGGTTTTCTGTTTGGGTAGCTTTTCACACATCTGATATTGGAGACGGTGTCAGTACATGTACTAATGCAACCCAGAACTGAGGATGTGTATTGGTCTAGATCAAGCGATCCTCCATTTTCAGCAGCTTCTCTGAAAACCTGCCAGTCTGTTCGATCAAAACAATCTCTCAGTATGGGGCCACTGTCCTGGATCCAACATTTAACTTTCTTTTGTACCGGTCTGGAGCCTCTCAGCGGGGGCATGCACTGTAAGCAGGAGCCAGGAAGATTGAGATGTGGTCTGACAGTCCTATGTGGGGGCGGGGTTCGGCTTTGTATGCATCTTTTATGTTTGTGTAAACATGGTCCAGCGTGTTGTCTCCGCGTCTTGGTATGCACACATGCTGATAAAAGCTTGGAAGACAGTCCTTTAGATTCACATGATTAAAGTCTCCGGCTACCACATAAAGCGCCTCAGGGTGTTTGTTCTGCAAAGAACTGATTATATCATGAAGTTCTTGCAAGGCGTCATTAGCATTAGCATCCAGAGGAATGTAAATAACTGTGATGAAAGTCACTGTGAACTCGCGGGGTAGATAATGTGGCCAACATTTCACTGTTATTTGCTTCAAAGCCTTCGAGCACGAGCTATTTACAACAGTACAGTTCGTGCACCAACTTTTACTCACGTAAATGCATACTCCACCTCCCCGTAATTTCCCCATTAGCTTGCTGCAGTGGTCCACTCAAAAAAAAGTCTGTCATCCAGCTGGAAGGCTGTATCTGGTGTTTCACTTGTAATCCACGTTTCTATGAGGCAAAGCACCGCACACTTCTTCATCTCCTCTGACGCGCCTGCTCTCAGATGAAGCAAATCTATCTTGTTGTCCAATTGGCCCTTAGTTTGAAAAAGGTTTTAGTTTTGCCCCCCTTTTGTAAGTGAGTTTCATTCATTCAATCTTTATTTATACAGGCTAGCCTCATTGAGCCACGGGGACTCATTTGCAAGAGAGACCTGTTCCAGACAGAACATATAAAGTACAGACAAAAGTCAGAGTTTGACACCCCTGATCTAAAATATATGCTAAACCCTAATAATATAAAACAATACAGCGAATCAACAGCAGCACAGACTTGATTCTGGGTGAGCAGATGGGTACAGCAGCATGAACAATCAGCAGCATGAGATCAGCATCGTGAATAATCAGCAGCAGAGATTTTGACACCTTTGACACTAATCCCCAAAAACAACTAATGTGACTGAAGCCAGAAAATTTTCCTAGAATCTTTAGGGCTCCAAGATGCATATTAGGATAAAATGTATGTGACTTTTTTGTGTTGTTCAGCTTTTTTATGTTCGGCTGGATTTTCTTCCAAGCAGTCAATTACACAGTAGTCCCTCGTTTATCACGGGGGATCTGTACCCTGAAGACCCGCAATAAGTGAAAACCACAAAGTAGGAATAGTAGTACAAGTAGTAAGTAGTAGTTTATTATATATA